CACAGCTCACAGCAACCTCCAACTCTTGGGCTTTAGGCAATTCTCTTGCCTCAGCCTCCCGAGTAGCTGGGACTATAGGCTCCCACCACAACGCCTGGCTATTTTTTTGTTTGGCCTGCCACCCTCAGTATACGTGGCCAGTGCCCTATCCAGTGAACCATAGGTGCCTCCCAAAACAAAGGTAATTTTTGTTAGTCATAATTTATGTAAAACAAATTCAGCACATACATTTTTCCTTTCATTTTCTCATTGTTAGGCAGTAGCAAATGATACTGAGGGAGCAGCTTGCTGTTTCTGCAGGAGCCGCCCAGTGATGCTGCTCATTGTGAGAAAAATCTGTAGACATTCACTGGATTGGGGTCACATATCAATTTTCTGCTAAGGTCTTTACTTTTCGGGCTTATGTAAACTTAATAAGAAACTTAGTATTAAAGTCTTAAACTTAGAGGACTGCTTAGCCCAAGAGCTTGAGGTTGCTGTGAGCTATGCCACAGCATTCTAGTCAGGGCACCAGAGTGAGACTCTGTCTCAAAAGAATAGATAAATAGGCCAGGCATGGTGTCTCATGCCTGTAATTTCATCACTCTGGGAGGCCAGTGTGGGTAGATCACCTGAGCTCACAGGATTGAGACCAGCCTGAGCAAGAGCAAGACCCCATCTCTAAAAACTAGCTGGGCATTGTGTCAGGTGCCTGTAGTCCTCACTGCTCGGAGGCTGACGCAAGGGAATTGCTCAAGCCCAAAAGTTTGAGGTTGCTGTGAGCTGTGACACCATGGAACTCTAGTGAGGGTGACAAAGTGAGAATCTGTCTCAAAAAAGCAAAAAATTATTAAGAAAAAAATGAGAATTATATAGTAGAATAAATAAGAGAAATGACTTCTAAAAATATATTGTGGTTATACTACATGTGTTTTCAGAATTGTGGTCTTAAGGGAAAGAATCACTCTGGTGACCAAAGTATTAGTAGTGTTCTCTGCCTTGTTTCAGAAGAACCCACTCTTGGTGGTTCATTATTTGGTAAATATCAGCTAGGAACTGATAGATGATTAATTTGTATTCTTGTCTCTTTTCACACTGCAGGTACCTTGAAGGCGGAAGCCTTCTTCATCCACATGCCCTAACATTTGCATTAACTAGTCAATAAATGAAAGTTTGTAGAAAGACGGATAATCACTTGTTCTCACTCGAATGTGGAAGCTAAAAAATCAATCTCTGGGAGGTAGAGAGCAGAATGATGGTCACCAGAGGCCAGGATGGGGAGTGAGGGGTGATAGAGAGGGTTGGTTGATGGGTACAAAGATACAGTTAAAAGGAATAAAACCCAGTGCTTAGAAGCACAGTAGGTCAGCTTTAGTTAACAATAATTTATTGTATGTTTTAAATAACTAGAGGAGTGAACTTGGAATGTTCCTAACACAAAGAAATGATAAATGTTTGAGATGATGGCAGCCCAGTCACTCCCATCTGGTCCTATACATTATATGGTTGTATCAAAATATCTTGTATACTCCATAAATACAGACAACAAATGCATTCATAATAATTAAAAATAAAAAGTTCATAGAATTGAAATGAAAAAAACTGTATTCATGGTTATGAAAACCTCCCATATCTCATGTTTGATATTAGTGTTGTGAAAATGGTGCTTTTATAAAGTCTGCATGCTCAGAGTCTTCTGTGACTGCCATCTGTGCATTGCTTGAGGAGATAGCTGGTTTTCTTTGAGGCCAGTGATTTTAAGTAAATACTTAGCAAACATTTACAATAGCAATTTAGTCTCTACCCTGAAGGAGCATGCAGGCTTGGGAGAGACCTGTGAAGATGACAGAGAGGTGACTGCTGACCTGAGCTGTGTGTATGGCTTGAGTGATGAATGATCCCTAAGAGGAGTGGTCTGCTGGCCAGCCTTGGAGGTGGCTCTGTTTGAGAACCCTGTGGGAGAATTGCTCAGAATCATGCTGGGCCTCATCACTCCCTCATGCTGCTCACATTATACTTTTCCCAGGGATCTTGCCTTTTGCATCTTGTGCTTTCTTTTTTTTGTTTTTTGTTTGGGTTTGTTGTTGTTTTGGTTTTTTGAGACAGTCTCACTTTGTCACCCTCAGTAGATTCTATGGTGTCACAGCTCACAGCAACCTCCAACTCTTGAGCTTAAGTGATTGTCCTGCCTTAGCCTCCCGGGTGGCTGGGAGTACAGGCACCCGCCCCAACACCCAGCTTTTTTTGTTGTAGTTGTTGCAGTTGTCATTGCTGCTTTAGCCAGCTGGAGCCAGGTTCAAACCCGCTACCCTTGGTATATGGGGCTGGTGCCCATCTTGTGCTTTCTTGTTGGATACCTTGGCCTGTGTGGAAACTCTGTCCACAGGAAACAGTTGTCCCCTTTGTGTGGTAGGAATGAGGAGGTTGGCAGTTAAGTTACTGGTAAGATATTTGAACTTAACTCAAGACATAAAAGGTTCTTGAGTTGGTTTATCTTGATAACAAAATAAGCATGAAAAAGAGAAAAGGGCCAGGATACTTAGAGCAATTAAGTTGACAAACAAAAGAATGGTCTAAGAATTTAGTGAGATTAATTCTTTTTTTGTTTGTTTTTCCCTAAAGACAGGGCCTTTCTCTGTTGCCCAGGCTGGAGGGAAATAGTGTGATTATAACTCCTGAACTCTAGTAAACCTCTTACTTTAGCGCCCTAGTGCAGCTAGGACTCCAGGTGTATACCACCACACTGCTTAGTAGTGTCTCCACCTCCTGGGCTCAAGCCCCCCCTCCTGCCTGGGCTTCCCAAAGTACTGAGATTTCATCCTGTCCAGCGATGTTAATTCTTTTTTTTTTTTTTTTGAGACAGAGCCTCAAGCTGTCACCATGGGTAGAGTGCTGTGGCATCACAGCTCACAGCAACCTCCAACTCCTGGGCTCAAGCAGTTCTCCTGCTTCCACCTCTCCAGTAGCTGGGACTACAGATGCCTGCCACAATGCCTGGCCATTTTTTGGTTGCAGCCATCGTTGTTTGGCGAGCCTGGGCTGGATTTGAACCCGCCAGCTCAGGTGTGTGTGGCTGGTGCCTTAGCCACTTGAGCCACAGGCGCCGAGCCCCAGCCAGGTTAATTCTTAAAAGGGTGAACACAAGTAGTGGAATACTCTGAGGGTGACTGAGTGAGATAAAATGTTTGCAGCAGTACTGCCGAGTCCTTTGTTGAATAAACATGTGGCATTTAGGTTTCACCTCTACCAGTTTCACAGTATTTTTTGCCATACTGTGTTTTTCTATTAAATATATTTTAATTGACTTTCAAACATAAATAAGACATTTAAGAAGGATAACTGCCATAAATAGTAGGCAATTATAAATATAATTAAAAACAAGCCAGTATTATTAGATTCTAGCTGAAACTTAACCTGCTCTTTCTTAAAAACAATGAGGAGACATTTTACTGTCTTTTTTTTTTTTTTTTTTTGGCCAGGGCTGGGTTTGAACCCACCACCTCCAGCATATAGGGCCAGAGCCTTATTCCTTTGAGCCACAGGCACTGCCCTTTACTGTCATTTTTAATGCGTACATAAATGTATCCTGTAACATCATGTTGCAAACCTCAAATATACACAAGAAAACTTATTTAAAATAAAATACCCAACTTGAATGTTAAAAAATAAAAAAAATAAATAAAGTTTATGGTGCATTAAAAAAATGAAGATGTTAGTCCTGTTAGATGTAATAGCTTGCAAACAAAGATCTTTCCTGGAGATGCTCATGCTCAGTGGTTAGGGCACCGGCCACATGCTCTGGGGCTGGTGGCTTCTTTTTTTGAGACAGCCTCAAGCTGTCGCTCTGGGTAGAGTGCTATAGCATCACAGCTCACAGCAACCTCCAACTCCTGGGCTCAAGTGAATTTCCTGCCTCTGCCTCCCAAGTAACTGGGACTACAGGCGCCCACCACACGCCTGGCTATTTTTTGGTTGCAGCCATCATTGTTGTTTGGCGGGCCCGGGCTGGATTCGAACCTACCAGCTCAGGTGTATGTGGCTGGTGCCTTAGCTGCCTGAGCCACAGGCACTGAGCCAGGCTGGTGGCTTCAAACCCTAGCCAGGCACTGTGACCGGTGCCTGTAGTCCCAACTACTTGGGAGGCTGAGGCAAGCGAATCACTTGCGCTCAAGAGTTTGAGGTGGCTGTGAGCTGTGATGCCACAGCATCATGGCACTTTGGCACTCAATTGAGGGTGACAAAGTGAGACTGTAGATCAATTAAAAAAAAATATATATCTGGCTCAGCGCTGTTGTGAGGCTTAGGATAAGCAGGTGCCTTCATACACCAGGTGTATGGTCCTCTTATCCTCCTCCAGGCTGCCATTCAGTACCATACCTGAAATTACCTTCTGAACTACCAGTGGCACCTCTTCCACCCTGCTGAGACATGAATCAGAAAAGGAATCAGAAAACTTGAGAGCAGCAAGCTGCCAAGACAAGCTTGGCTGTCTTCCTCTACTTGTCTTGGTGTTTTTTGCCTACATAGTGTCCTTCTACTCAGGATACTGTTAGAGGGGCAAGGTGTTTGCAAGATCCATGTTCGCAGGATACTTCAGACCTTGTTGTGCATTCCTTGACACATGCTGAGGCAGCAGTGCACCTTTGCTAGAAATGGCACCATCTGGTGCTTAGAAAGGGTCATCAGCACAGTGCACTGTGGGCTGGTGGGGAACTAGACAGCCGGAGAGAAGTGGCAGCCCCTGGGCCCTCTCGCCTTTGGCAGGTGAGTGGTGATGGTCTCACTTGTTTGTCATTCACAGAGCACCCAGGAATGTCATTTACTGAGGATGGCATTTGTTATTTTGTGTTCTACCTAAATGTGTGAGAAGATAATCTTTTTGTAACTCTTTATTTTGAGGTAGTTAAAGACTCACAAAAGTTGGAAAAATAGTAAAGAGTTCTTGTGTACTCAGTAGTTCTTTTCTAAACATGGTTTTAATATCCACCTTATGTGATAATTCCTTCGTGGTTTTCATTTCAGTGTTTCTTCATCTTAGCTGGTGAAGCATGGGGGAAATAGAAGGGACATACAGAGTCCTGCAGGCTGCAGGGACACGCTTAAGCACCCAGACTCCCGTGGGAGTTAGCACCCTGGAGCCTGGGCAGACCCTGTCACCTCGAGTGCAGGAGAAGCACGTGCACACCAGAGTGAAGCTGCTGGACAACACCGTAGAAGTATTTGACGTTGAGGTAAGAAGCATGGTTTGAGGAGGCATATTCCCTTACATTTTCTAGAAGTCGAGTATTATGTACCAAATTCCATGTCGCTGGTTAGACTTTATATATTTGTCAAGTTGACCAACCATGGTTTTGGTGAAACAATAAAATCCTTGGAGAGAATCCGAGTTTTCTCCTTTTAGTTCAGAAAATGGTATTCTTCTGTCTTAACATTTAAAATTCTGGTTCAGTTCAGTCTTTCTACTTTGCTGAGAGGCTGATAAAGAGGACTGCAGGAGAGACAGGCTGGAGCCAAGTAGCTCATACCCAGAACTTCCTAGTGTGGCCTGCTGGGTTCCTGGCCGACTGGAGGAAGGGATACCACTTAGTCTATGTGGTATCTAACGTATGTCAGGTTTCTTTCCTAAAATGGGAGTGGGAGGGAGGGGATGATTACAGTTTCTCCATCTCTGGTGGCTGAGGTGTGGATTGAACAAACAACATGCAAAGAGCCTGACCTTCAGGAGGTGTTGTGTAGAGTGCATATAACTTACTTTTCTAGGTCAGCAATGATACAATTTCTATTTTGAAAATTTCCTACCTCAGCACCCATAACTCAGTGTGTAGGGCTCCAGCCCCATACACTGGGGCTGGTAGTGTGATTATAACTCCTGAACTCTAGTAATCCTCTTACTTTAGCCTCCTGTGCAGCTAGGACTCCAGGTGTACACCACCACACTGCTTGGTAGTGTCTCTACCTCCTGGGCTCAAGCCCCCCCCTCCTGCCTGGGCTTCTCAAAGTGCTGAGATTTCATCCTGTCCTGCCAGGTTAATTATTTTTTTTGTTCTTTTTTTTGTTTAGCCTGCCAGCCTGGGTCTGCTAAACAACAATGACAACTATGACAAAAAAATAGCCAGGTGTTGTGGCAGGCACCTATAGTCCCAGCTACTTGGGAGACTGAGGCAAGGAATCGAGTAAGCCCAAGAGTTAGAGGTTGCTGTGAGCCCTGATGCCACAGCACTCTACTGAGGTGACAAAATGAAACTCTGTCTAAAAAAAAAAAAAAGAAAGAAAGAAAGAAAACGTCTTTTCTGTCTCTCTAAATAGTTTTGGAATGAATGTTCTTTCTTTCTTTTTTTTTTTTTTTGAGACAGAGTCTCACTGTATTGTCCTCAGGAGAGTGCTATGACATCACAGCTCACAACAACCTCAAACTCTTGGGCTCAAGTGATCCTCTTGCCTCAGCCTCCCAAGTATCTGGGACTGTTACAGGTGCCCGCCACAACGCCTGGCTGTTTTGTTGTTATGGTTGTTGTAGTTGTCGTCGTTGTTTAGCAGGCCTGGGCTGGGTTTGAACCCGCCAGCCCCTGTGTATGTGGCTAGTGCCCTAACCACGGAGCTACAGGCACCAAGCCTGAATGTTCTTTTTATTTTTTTTTTCCTAACTTATTTCTATAAGAAAAGAATGAGTGTTCTCTTTAGAAATTATTTACTTTTGTATGTAATACACAAATACGTTATCTTTTTCTCTATTTTTAAATTGGTTTAAAGTAATACCTTTAGAAGCTTTTCTTGCTCTTGTTATTTTTGTTGTTGTTTGTTTGTCACTTTAGCATCCTAGGCAGGGTGCCATAGCGTTGGAGCTAACAGCAACCCCAAATTCTTGGGCTCAAGCTGTCTTCAGTCTCAGCCTCTCAAGTAGCTGGGATGAAAGGCCTGAGCCGTTGGGCACGGCTAGTTTTTCTACCTTTAGTAGAGATGGAGTCTCACTCTTGCTCAGGCTGGTCTCAAACTCCTGAGCTCTAGCACTACTCTCACCTCAGCCTCCCAGAGTGCTGGGATTACAGGTGTGAGCCACCAGGCCGGTCACTTTTCTTGCTCTTTATGTCACAAAAGTGACGACAAGAGAATGAAGTTAAACCCAAGCAGGAGGTTTATTTGTGCTGAGGGATTTCTGTTGAGTCAAGATGCTGCATAGAAAATAAGAGGATTATTGAGATATGGGCAGGGCTGTGCAGGCCCTGGCCCTGCTCTACTGCAAAGTACACTACACTCTGCAGTAGAGCAGGGAAGGGGAAGGGGGAGCGTGGTGGCCAGGAGGCAGCGGTGGGGCTGATGGAAGCACTGAGCCAGGCACAGCTTGGTGGCTGGTGTGAGTTTAGAACTCCAGGACCCTAATGGCTTTTCTTAAGCTCTTCTCTAAGGAATAAGTGAAAGGCTTCCTCAGGGCAGTGGTAACTAAAACAGGTAGGACCTGTTCTTCACCTCCCAAGTTGTTCCTGCTGCAGGAGAGTCTGGAGCTGAGCTGTCATTGAACCCTGGAGAAACTGCTTTTCACCAACTCTTGGATGACTCTCCTGTAGAAAATAAGTTGCAGGGGGTCTGGGAATTCAACTGGGCTCCCAAACCTTTCTCAATCAAGTATTTACAGGGGTCTGCAAATTTTTTAAACAGGGGGCCAGTTCACTGTCCCTCAGACCATTGGAGGGCGAGAATGTGGGCCCCTGGACGAGTTGGCTGCTAAGCAGGACAGGGAGCGGTGGCAAAAATACCCGGCGGGCCGGATAAATGTCCTAGGCGGGCTGCAGTTTGAAGACGCCTGGTTTAGAAGAATTTCTACCATGTAGCTAGCCATCCTATAGTAAATATGTTTGTTGTAGTCTAGGCATGTAACAGATTCAAAATTTTAAAAGGAAAAGAAAAATAAAAGAATTACATTCTTCAGGGTTTACTTTGGAGTTTTGGTTTTTTTTTTTTCTTTGAGACAGTCTCAAGCTATTGCCCTCAGTAGAATGCTGTAGTGTCACAGCTCACAGCAACCTCAAACTCTTGGGCTTAAGTGATTCTTTTGCCTCAGCCTCCCAAGTAGCTGAGACTACAGCTGCCCACCACAGTGTCCAGCTGTTTTTTTGTTGCAGTTGTCATTGTTATTTTAGCAGGCCCAGGCCAGGTTCAAACCTGCCAGCCTCAGTGTATACGTCTGGTGTATGTGTCCGGCGCCCTACCCATTGAGTTACAGGTGCCACCTGCTTTTATAGTGTTTTTTGTCCAACTTAATAGTCTTTGTCGATTAAAACTACAACCCAGAAGAAAAACAGCAAACATTTATTATTTAGTCATAAATAAGATGTAATCCTTCTCTTTAAAATTCACTTTTAGTGATTTTTTTTTTTTTTTTTTTTTGCAATTAAAATGGCTTTATTCCACCTGGGTGCAGGTGGCAATCAGGAAGAAATCCACACGTGGGTAATGGTAAATGGGGCTTTTAAAGGTCAGAAAGGTGGGGGTCAGGACATTGCCTTTCCTTGTAAGGGTAGGGGTTGGTCTGTTTACCTTTGCCAGGTAGGACATCCGGTGGGGTAGGAGGTTGACCTATTTACCTTTCTTAGGTGGGAGAGGGTAGAGGGTTGATTCTTTTAGGCAGGTCCACCCTATTTGGGTGGGGTTTGATCCTATCATCCCAGTATTTTTTGTCTATTATAAGGAGGCAGGATGATGGGCCTGGTATCTCTTTGACCACTTTCTGTGGAGGGAGGGGCTGCATGGGCTGCCAGTAAAGAGAATGGAAGTGGGAGGGGACTGGGGTACGGGAGTGGCGTCTACAGGAACTCTTTGGCTTTTTCAGTCTGAGCTGGTTGGTATCCAGTAAGGTGAGGATATGAGGAGTTGTTTTCGGATGACTGTCTGGTTAATAAATCGAGGCATGAGGTGAAAGGTTACTGGTTCAAAACTGAGAATGAGAAAAAATCATAATTAGTGACCTTATCAGAAAATAACCAAAGAAGATGGGCAGTGAGAGGCAGGAACCAGTTGGAGTTGCCAGGGCTGCCAGCAATCCCGAGAGGACATCTTATACCCTTTACCAAGATCTCTGCTGATTTTTAGAGGATTTTTACAAAGTGGCAGCATGAATGAGGTTGCTCCTGTGTTTATTAGAAAAGATCTGCTTACCTTCCATAAGCAGAAATACCTAGAGTTCAGTTTTCCAGGATGGTGACATCCAGGAGGCATTCTGATTTTCCGGGGTCATCCGTCTTTTGCACTAGGTTCAGGAGGGAACCTCAACTACTGAGAGTGTCTGCACTGGATCTTAAGAAAGACCCAGGCACCAGACCTCTGCAGGCTCAACACGGTTTGAGGGGGGGTTTGGATTTGTATAATTTTTGACAGTAATTATTGAGATTAGTGAGAATTTTTTTTTTTTATTGGGACAGCGTGTCACTCTGTCACCCTTGATAAGAGTGCTGTGGCATCACAGCTCTGGGAAGATTTTGTTTTTTTCAGAATACCTTGTTTTAAGAAGTAGCCAGTTTTCATTAATGGCGGAAGCCAATACTGGAGCTCTGAGAGGCACTGCCACATCTTGAAGGCCAGATCAATGAGATCTCCCTGGGAGGTCTGAGGGCCCTGGGGGAAATTCTGCCATTTTTTTTCTGCCTTGTGCAGAAGAGGTTGGGTGGGAGGCTGTGGGGGGATATATTGGGTATTGTCTAAGGGAATGATGTGGACGTGGGGGTTGAGGGCAACCAGAATGGGTGACTGAAGAGAGGTGACAGAGAAACTTCTCAGGTGTTCCTATCAAGAGAATTGGAGGGATTATAGGAAGGGGGTTGGAGAAGAACAGTGGGGCTGTGGAAGGGTATCAGGAGAAGTTGGTGTTACCAGGAGAATCTGAGAGGGTTCACAAGACAAACACAGAGACTGAATGTTTCAGAGTATGAGAAGGGCCTGGATATAAGGGATCTCTGACCATTTGTATAATTTTTGATAGTAATTATTGAGATTAGTGAGAATTTTTTTTTTTTATTGCGACAGCGTGTCACTCTGTCACCCTTGATAGAGTGCTGTGGCATCACAGCTCTTAGCAACCTCAAACTCTTGGACTTAAGCGATTCTCTTGCCTCAGCCGCACAAGTAGCTAGGACTACAAGCGCCCGCCACAACACCCAGCTATTTTTTTGTTGTAGTTGTCATTGTTGTTTAGCAGGCCCAGGCCGGGTTCAAACCCTCTCTAGTCCCAGTGTATGTGGCT